ATTACTCTAAAATATAATATTACTAGTCGTATAACCCTTCTTCAATCGGGTCTTTCATTACTGGGAATTTTTGTCGTTCACTTGGTGCTGTTTAAAGTTTAAAGTCAGACCACCTGAAAATCAATATTAGTAACAAGATTTGAGTGCAACTGAGGCAAATCCCCAAATGGTGGGGGTAACAATTTGAATGTTGGGGTGGCCTTGAAATGTACCGTTTTTGCGATTTCCATCTTGCAAGGAAGGACACTATCATTATAATAATATACGATTAACTCAATTACAATATAATTTATTTTTTATAATTTTAATAATCATTTGCGTTAGATATCAACTCTCTAAATTGATTTGAGGCTGTTCTTACAAACCTTAAATTTCTCCAAAGTGTAAAAAAAAGTTTTAACTTTCAATGTTGTAATTTTTTCCATCCAGTTTGGACTCAAAACCGACACTGAATAATCATCTGTCAAAGAAAGAACACTGGAAAGGCAGAAACAACATCCGATCAAACACACACATACACAAAGACACATTTTCATAATTATAGATATAGATATATTTAAAATATTTATTTAATTACTTATATAGTGAAGAATCATTTAACGGACGACCCCTTACCTGAATATCTTTCCACCTGTTTACAGTATCTATTCTTCATTACAAAGATGGACATACTTTGGTTGAACGAAAAAAATAAATGACATCTGAGGAGTGAATGTTTGATGATCTCTTATTCGAGCAGGTGTTTGCCAAAAATAGATCCGCAATTTATATTCCCTCGAGATAGAAAGTTATTCGAAATCTCAATAGTTTCAATGCCAATGTTGATTCTCGCTAGATTTAAACACCTGGAAAAAAAAACATGCTGAAATAATTAAGGAATGTGAATAACACACACTCAAGCACATACTCCATATATATATATATATATATATATATATATATATATATATATATATATATATATATATATATATATATGTGTGTGTGTGAATTCAAGTAGGAAAAGCAACATATATATATGTATATATATATATATATATATATATATATATGTGTGTGTGTGTGTGTGTGTGAATTCAAGTAGGAAAAGCAACACATAGAGAGGAAAATATTTAATAAGCTTATCTTATTCCCACTAAAGAACAGATCGTGACAAATAGTGATTTAGAAATCAGACTAAGATTAATTATTCGCTGCCATAAGTTGAACTATATCAGTTATGTCGCTGACAATGTGATGTCAGCAGACAGAGAATGGAAACTACAGTAACTGCTCCATATTATAGTAAATTTAAGCGCCAAGAAAGAATTGAATGTTAATTGTAAGAAGTCATGATATACTCGTCAGTAAAATGAACAGATCGATATGTGAACGACGATATAGAGATTCAAAAATCAAGAAAGTACATAAATATCACTGAAATATTTTAACAGTGAACAAAAAATATATGTTATCGTAATGAACATAAATGCCTAGAAAATATGGTCTGTTATGTATTATTTGTTCTCATGTATAGCCTAGGATGTTGATAGATTTACTCACTCACAGATCAAGAAAAAAATTTGAAGCAACAGCATTATAGTTCTACATAAGGATGCTGAGAATACAACGGACTGGACATATGAGCAACGGCAAAGTTTTCGTGAACAAAGAAACCAAAAGAATTATATTTATAATCAGAAAAAAAAAGATTATTTTCTAGATCACATAATAATGAAAGAGTGCGTTTAATATTTACCACTCAGTGGATATATTGAAGGCCAGATGTAGAGAGGAAATTACCGCATTACTTTACTAAATATTAAATGGCTGGCTAATCAGTAATTATGGGAGATAGCAGAAACAAATATTACAAGGTACTACAACACGTGAGAAAGAGTCATAATTGCATACGCCCTGAATGGTTATTCACATAGAAGTAAAGTGATCTCTAAAAAAAAAAAAGCAAGTCATATTTAAAAATTACAATCCTAAAACGTACCCTTAAAAAGCAGTAAATTCAGAAATACCTGAGACAATCGTTGAAAACCTGGTGACGACTGACTCGACTGAAAAATCCAGGACGGATTTCTGCGCATTCCTTCAATTTCTCACATCGGATATTTTTCTTTAAATAGTGCTATAACGACGCTCAAAATCATTCAGTTGCTTAGCCACATTTGTAGGGTAGAACGAAAAACGAAATTTGTCTACATATAACCTTCAAATGATGAGTCACGAGATCGAGAAGCAATTAATCACACATAAAAGAAATAATCAGGGTTAAATAATTACGCGAAGGTCGAATGAGTATTCAAGGTCATGTATAATCAAGAAGTTTATTTATAGTCAATGATACCTGAAAGATAAAATAATAATAATAAAAGTGCCTCTTTCTCTATTTGGGGACCCTGTATAGAGGGACATTTTATTTCAATTTGAGCATGAATATATGTGTTGTTTATAAAGCAGGTATACATATTACCCAAGTACATGGTCACATGCATAAAATCAGCAACAACAGCCGCTAATGTTCTTCAACTGCTGGACAAATTCCTTTTAATATTCCTTCCGTGAAGAATGTTATTCTGCTATTCTCTGTAATTTTATACAATTAAATCTCTTTATATCATCTCAGCTGGCACCACTTCGTCACGATGCGAAAATCATTTGACACCATCTTTTTTTTTATTCCTCGCTGCACCAGACTAAACCTTTTTTTACCAATGTTTAAAATATTATTAAAATAGCATTATTATTACATGCTTATATTATATGACCTTAGGTATCTGACCTTGACAAAACATATCGAATTAATGCAGTATAGATTTAGGGCTGATTTATGGTATATGAACCTGAATGGGTTGTTTACTACCTACAATTAATTTTAGAGTAGGTTCTTATGAATAGAATATATATTAATATGTTTTTTTTTTAAATGTAATTTCGGTAATACTGTTTTTTTTTTTCAAAAATGTATTGCTGGTAATATTTCTTTAAGCAAAATTATTATTTTACTATGAAAATATACTCCTGGTAATTTGTTTTATTGTATTTTTACATTTTCATTTTTTGATACAGTTGAAGATGTTACTATTTTCCCATAGCTGTGACCGTAACTTGTGTCCCAATCCTGGGCTAGAATGTACCGGTAGATAACAAGTAAGAAGTGGTACCACACTCATCAAAACCTCTCGAAGAGAGGCTTTACTGCCAAATGTAGATTATCATCATATCCAAGACGATGTGGAATAGAGGTAAACAGCGTCTAAAGACCTTACAAATTCATGCACGTGGAAAGCTGAACAGGGGTAATAAAAATACGAATAATGAGAGAGATACAGAGGATAAGAAATTTTGGAAAACCTTGACTGGTCATGGCTTGAAGGTATAGAGAAAAATTATTTTAAGACCATTATCTTCTTACGGGTTTTTATAATAGATAGATTTCTGATTCAAATTGTGTTAATAATTTTCTTATATTATACTATGATGCATATTTTATACTTTTCTGCTCCTTAAAATTTCTATAGTATTGTTGGTGGAAATAGGTCACGTACGTCATGTGACGGCCGCTCCATACAGTGACCAAAGTAGCTGTCAATTTCAGTTGGTTTACAGTAGCTGAACCTAGATGCTGTTTTCTAATTCTGTCTCCCTAGAAACTGTCAAGTCCATGATGCCGTTTCCATTCAGGAATATAACTTTCCCTGATATAGAAAGAAACTGCAGCTCGCAGTCCTCGCTTTGCGAAAACCCATATCTCGCTGTTTCCCGTTCGTGGAATATTCCTTGTCTGGGACATAAATGAATCCGACCATTTTGAATATGAATTCATAAACACGGCTTCTCCAGACACAGGAGTATCTCCATATTATATTTAAAACCTTCATCTTTGTTTTTTCTTGCATTCTGCTTGCACTGTAGATATATGCGTTATATATTTATCTGCGTGGGACACTTATATGTATATGTAGTTTTTTGTATGTCTTAATATAAAAGGCTGTCTGAGAACAAAGCATATTTGTCATTCTTTTCCTGTTCAGCCATTCCGTTCTGTCCGCGAACTAAGGTGTTATTATATCACGGTTAAAATAATGCCCATAACGGGGGAAATGTAATTGAGAAAATAGCTTCCATAGCTCCTTCCCGTTATCTTTTACCATTGTTCTTTATCGAAATTTTAATACTAGCGTTTCTCACTTGTACTCCATTGTTTGGATTATCCACTCTATAGTTTGAATCTACTATGATTCGATGTTTTATTTTGTTTCGGTTTTATTGTTTGAATTTCATAACCTGAATTCTTCCTTGATGGCTACCTGGTTTCTTCGCGTTGTGCCATTTTTCTACTGGCCGTTTTAATCAATGGTAAATTCTGTAGATTTCTTTAGTTTTGCTCTTGTTCATTTGCAAATCTTAATTAAGAATTCACGTTCCAGGCTATTAAGCATTATTTGTAATTAAACTGCTGCTTATTATAAGATTAAAATTCCGTAAATATTTTAAATATTCACCGTTTATATTTAATACCTTTCTTTCCAAATTACGCTGTTAAGACATTAAGGGAAACTGTACGCCGATATAAAACGCTATGCTGAAAGGCAATTCCCCCCAAAATATTTTTATGTAGATTTTGGTAAGTGGAGTAAGTAGATAATATATTAGTCTTGATATCTCTTTTTTGTAAAATGGCTAAATTTCTCTCAATATCAAGGATAGAGTGTATATATATATATATATATATATATATATATTTAAAAAATATCAGGCAGCGAATTTTTATTATGTTTGATCATGAGCCGTTCCATGCTTCGTCTAGTGGCTTTAGTTTCGAGTAGAAACTAATGACAATAAATGTCCAAAATTTGGATATTTTTTATTATGTTGTATATCGATTTAAGCTTACTGCTCACATGAATGTTTACATGGACATTACAACATCACTATCAACGGTGACATCCTCTTATATTAACATAGATGTTTGCTATGCGACGATAACTAATGCAACTATACGAAGATTAGGATGACACATGATCAAACATAACAGACATTCGTTGTTTGTTATATTTATATTTGAATATTGATCTGCTGTCAGTATACACTATATATATATATATATATATATATATATATATAGAGAGAGAGAGAGAGATAGATAGATAGATAGATAGATAGATAGATAGATAGATAGATAGATAGATAGATAAGAAAATATTGAGATAGAGAAATAAAAATATTGAGATAGATAGATAGATAAGAAAATATTGAGACCTAGATATAAAAATATTGAGATAGATAGATAGATAGATAGATAGATAAGAAAATATTGAGATAGAAAATAAAAATATTGAGATAGATAGATAAGAAAATATTGAGATAGAGAAATAAAAATATTGAGATAGATAGATAGATAGATAAGGAAATATCGAGATAGATAGATAGACTAGTAAGACAAAATTGAGATAGATAGATAGATAGATAGATAGATAGATAGATAGATAGATAGATAGATAGATAGATAGATAGATTGGTAAAACAAGATTGAGATAGATAGATAGATAGATAGATAGATAGATAGATAGATAGATAGATAGATAGATATAATTTATGTTCGTTAACCTGTGGTGCATTTATTATTGTACGCATTTTGGTAATGGCTAATAAGTTTTTAATTCCGAATGAAAATATCGCTTATTTTAATCTTGCAATATAGACAAGTGTCAATTTACGTAGCCGGCCAGTTCACTCAGCCTCTTATCGAATCCATCTTTACCAGTCACATTTATGCAGAGCAAGTTCGCCAAGTACTCACGGAGTACAGCAGACAACTGATTAATTTTTCCATTTTCTACATTCTCCTGAGGATGTAATTACATCAAACCAACGATTGTTCTTCGTGAGACGTCATAAAAAAATAGTTGCTTTGGGATGTTTGATAACGGAATGTAAAGTACTTCACTCTGTGACAATTTTTCTGTCGAAAACTGCCAATGAATATCCTCATCGTCAGCTATAGTCATATTATTCTAACTAGCAGTATCAATTTAACATTATATCATACACACAAGGGACTACTATATGGCATAAAAAGCTATATATTTCGTCAATTATGATAAGTCTTAAGGCAATTATGACGTCGGTTTAACCCCTAATCTTGAGGATAACATGGTCTTGCAAATATGAATCATTTGTACGAATTGAAACTACGTATATGCTGTTGCTAAAATTTAAAAAAATAGTCATGCAATTTTTGAAACATATTACGAAGAAATTATCATAGGTGGAAGGGAATTAGCAAATTATCTGTGTTTACTAATTTCTTCCACTCATTCTTTCCATATATCTTGTGAGTGTCAAATTCAAAGAACCTTCTTTCCTCATAATCTATTTCATAAATTACCTGTCAGCTTTTTTTTTTAATTTATAGTCGTCTGGAGTAATATCACAGTAAAACCATATTTCGTAATCTCCACTTAAAATAAATTTTTCTTCCTATCTCACTTTCCCCAGACGAACACGTTTCTTCCCCAATCTTCATCTACAAGTAAGGTTTTTACAGATTTACCCTTTGATATTTCTATAATGTGGATACTGTCGTATAAGCTTATGTGCAAATATTTCTTTACACCTTGTGTTCATAACCCTTTATACAATCATAATGTTTATGTTGTCCTGAATTTATATTTAACGTTCATACAATTAGTGGAGTGTATGAAATGCATTAAGTCACGTGATACCGGTGGAGTATATAAACCTATATACTGCTTAGAATATAATTAATATATTTATAATGGTTTGAACAAGAAGAGTCTTGTAATGATATATAATCATGCGAGACAACCATATAGTTATCTATCACATATAATATTGACATTTCATTCTATCAATGATGTTATTAATATCTAGATATTTGATTGGCATGGTTTAGTTTGGTTTGATTTACAGCATATCAACATCAATGGGTTATTTATTGGTGAAAGAATGTTATTGCTGATAAAATCTTTTCTTAAAAAGTATTGCTGGTAATATTTTTTCAGAAATATAATGCTGGTAATATTTCTTTTTCAAAAAATGTATTGATGGTAATAATTCTTCTTAAAAGTATTCATGGCAATAATGTATTTTTGGTAATAATTTTTCTTCAAATATTTATTGCTGGTAGTAATTTTTAACAAAACTGTATTGCTGCTATTAAAACTTATTTTTATACGTTTTGACCCGAGTTTGGTGTTAATTATTTGCTCATATCTGTGACCCTAACAGAGGCTACTACCCCGGATCAGAGTGGAGCTGAGAACAACAGCCATTAAAAGATGGTTCCACGCACCTCAAAACCTCCTGATTAGTGGCCTTACCGTCGGATACATTTTATCTTCTTACCCAGGACGCAGATGTAGTTTATAGTCATACCTAGTATGGTTGAGTGATATAAGATTACTTCTTCTACCATAGACCTGAATATTTCTATTTAATATTCAGGAAGCCTTCTCCAAACACTTAATTTACAATGATAGGAAAACGTATTTATTTACTGAAAATTATGTAACAAATGTTTTAAGCTAATGTCAGGCACTACTTTTATTTTAACCACTCTATGTTCATGAATTTCATGGATTTTTCGAATGTATGAAAGCATAAATGTCATAAAGAAAAAAGCGGAGACAAACTCAGAGTTGACTCTTGTAAGAAAAAAAATATGTAACAGTTGGGAGTTAAGGAAAGAAATCTGCTATGGGTTAAATATGAGGGAAAACTAGGCTCTTCAGCCTTGGGTATCAATGAGCCTAAGAAAAATAAAAGTCACTTAAAAAAATACAAGTTAAGTAACCATCGGTCATCTTGAGGATTTTGAAACTGGATTATAAGAGCTGGGGGGGGGAGAGTAGGTTTCTTTTTTTTTTTACAAATATCTATTACTGTAATCTGTGTTAACATATATTTTCTAACATCAACGGTTACTTTTAGACAGTGGCCATACTTACAAGTGAGTAGACATCTATCATACACATATATATATATATATATATATATATATATATATATATATATATATATATAAATATATAGTTTATGCAAAACTAAGCAATACGTATGTGTAGACCCAAGGAGGATGATATCTAGAGAGCTAAATGTAAATTCAGAGCCAATAAATTTGAATAAAACAGACCATTTTAAAGGTTCCTTTAAGTCTGATGATCCAGAGCCCTTTTAAAATGGCTGTGGTGAAATAATTTATTACATGGAACCTTAAAAGTGGTCAGTTTTTATTCATATATATATATATATATATATATATATATATATATATATATGTGTGTGTGTGTGTGTGTGTATATATATATATATATATATATATGTGTGTATATATATATATATATATATATATATATATATATAGTACATGATAAAATATAGTTTTATGCTATATTTATGGGTTAAACTGCTCAATATCAGGGTTAAATTATATGTAAATATACAAGTGGACATTGAGATCAACACCCAGATGCGATTTGGATGCATTTTTGCTTGACATTATATATATATGCAGGTTAGTGATTGATTGTGGGTAGCCTGTTCCATCGTCGGTAGTATATTTTTATTATTCTAACGGTTATTTTGGTGAGTGTGGTTTGCTAATTTGTTCAATATTATCCAAATTAATTTACTTACTTATTTGTATAGATTAATTTATTTTACTTGTTTTGCTTTATTTTATTGTAGTTATTTTCGTTTATTTTTGTCCGTTTTCAGTTATCGAATTTTAATTAACGTAGTAAAAATGTTTTGATTTCTGTATTTTGAGATGAGTTCTGATTGTTTATTCACTAGTTTTTCGTATGTGAAGGTAATTATGACTATTTTTTCCTCTAGGCAATTTTTGGATTAATCGATGTTCTTTTCCTTCTTTTCTTTGATATTTTGGTGTGATTTTTTTAACCTTCCAATTATTTTGAGAATTATTGTTTTATTTGCGTATTTACTACATGTAAAGGATTTTTTGTGACCTTTATTTTTTTCCCATGGTTCTTCAGTTACTCATATGTATATTTTTTCTTCGTTATCTGTTAATTTTACAGTGGCTTGGTATATTATATTGTCGTGAAATCAATTACCCCTTAATGGGCATTCGTTCTCTTTTCTGACTGCATAAAAACCGCAGTTAATCCTAAACAAGTTATAAATATTAAAAAAAGATTAGTGAACTATTCAACGAGCTCGGGAAACTATGCAATGACAAAATCCTCACAAAAATCTATTATGTATCACAACGTACTAGATATATAACAAAGCAAAAAATAATAGCATTTCAATTATGTAACGTATATTGAAGTATATCGTTCGATTTTCATCGCTCATTGAAATATGCTTATTTTTAAAGATTTATTAAAGTTTTAAAAAGGGCGATCGCAAATCAGACACGACTGTATAATATGAATACATACAACTAATTGGTAATAGCTGTTCTGGAATTTCTTTCATTTCTACACATATTTAAAACTCATAACTTGCATCTTTCAACGATATACGGATAAATTATTAATTTGAATGAATAATATCGCCAATTCTCTCCTATAATAAAAACGTCATTCTAATCTTAAAGTCCAATTCTTCAGAAGCCATGTATATCCCATTTAAAGAGGTGAGTTCTAATGACGTAGAAAATGGTGGACAATCCATCGTGCCTTCTCTGAAAATTTTCTGTAAGAATGTAAGCAGTTTCTGTATTAGTTTATGTGGTTTATATCGACACTATTTTAGGGGTTATGGAGAGGGAGAGCAAGAGTAAAGAAGGGTGTTTGAGGAAAAGGAGGAAGAGAAGCAGGGGAATCGACATGAAGGCATAAGAAGATGTCGTTTGACATTACATTTGAACATTTGAAGATTATTGCTATCAGGGAAGTAAGGGTGTTCCACTGTCTGGAAGTGCGAAATAAGAAGATGTCGGAGTAGAAGAGAAGGTTTTAATTCTGCTTTGCCTTTTATTGAACACGTTTCTTTTTTTAAGCATTTAACTCTATGCCACTAGCCCGCAGGTGTTTACAAAGAGTAAAATGTGGGAGAAGACTATGTATAGGGAGGGATTGAAGAAAAGATAAAAGATGAACAGGGATCAAGTCATCAGGTGATGGCGAATGATGTTGCATTTAAATGTTTGAAGATTACGCTTATCAGGGAAACAAGTAAGAGAATGGAATTTCCATAGTCTGGAAGTGTGAGAAAAGAAATTGTTGGGATAGGTAATTAACTATTTCAATCTTAAAATGGTGGCACCCTAAACACCAATCTATAGCACATTTAAATCCATGTAATCTGCACACTAGGAAAAAAATCTCTGGAGCAGTTGCCATGAAAATATTTGTAGAAAATGGAGGGGGAAGCCACAACACGTCTGTGAGAGAGTGACGGAAGTTGAGATGCCAACTCAGGATTTATTATATTGCAGATCATTCTTTGGATTTTGTCGAAAGCCCGGAGATGAACAGCAGGGATACCAAGCCAGATATGGCTGCAGCATTCAATGCACAAACGAATGGTAGATTTGTAGATGTACAAGATGGCCTCTGATAATAAAAAAAACAAACATAAAAAAACGGCACTACACAGTGAGACAACTTTTATTGAAGTATAT